GTTAAAAATAAAAATGCATAAAAAATGAACATGCATTGTATTTTTGTTGCGGTTTTTGGGTCACAAGTGGTAAAATGCACATACGTTTTCATGCATTCACTATATCTGGTCTCCCACAGTACATAGAACATCGAAATGCAATTACTTTTGTAAATATAAAACTGCTAAATATCTTTAGCAGTATATAGCAGTTTTGTGACTTCTGTCAGTGTCCAGCTGAGCACTGGTTAAAGCTTATAGGAAGAGTTTTCATTCTCCACTGACTGTCCTATGAGGCTGCATGACCCCTGACCCTCTGTCTAGACAGTGTTGATTGGTCCTGTGCTGATCACATGCATTCTCCCACAAAAAAAAGAAAACATTTCTAGCAAAACTTAGCATGTGCAAGTGTCTTCTTGGGCTCTGTACTACCAGCAGATGGATTGGGAACAGTAGAAGGGGAGTATCAGAGAAGGCAGGATCAAATAGCCTTTTTACTCAATGTGGAGGATTAACTCCTTGGGTTTTAGGGAGTATAACAAGCATGCTTTATTGCATATACAGACTGATTTTACTGTTGTATTTTTGCACGGATGTATGTATAAAAATCTCATCAGTAGCTTCAGTAGTGCACATAGAGACTTGGATAATGTCATTCAAAAGTACTTTAAAATTTCATTTGCTTTTACATTTCAATTTTGGAATGAATGGATTTTGTCAAATGAAAAACCACATTCACTGTTAGAATTTTGTAAATTCAAGAATTATTTCTCATTCTGTCCTTTCAATTGTCTTCATCACTGTGGTCAAATATAATTGATTTTACCCCATTAATTATTAGAAAATAAAAAAAAATTTGGAAATCTATTTTTTTTTAACGTAGTTCTACCCATGTATTAAAAGTGTTACTAAACCCACAATAGTAAATGTGCATATGCAGTAAATCATGCTTGTTATATATTCACTGTGGAACCTAAGGGGTTAATCTTCTGCATTATGTAAAAAGGCTGTTTGATCCTCTCTTCTCTGTTCCTCCCCTTTTTCAAGTGACCACCACTTATCTCCAGACTGAACCGTAGGCATGCACATGCTCAGTTTGGTGTATGTATTGCTAGAGATGTTTTTTTTTTTTTTTCTTGGGAGAGTGCATGTGAACAGCACAGGGTCAATCAGCACAGTCCAAACAGAGGTTAGGGGATTTCCATCCTCTACCTAGAGCATCAGCCCAATCCATATAAAGCAAAGCTAATTAGGTATAGGTGTGGCAACGTACGGTGTATCCACTTTGAGTCTAATTTGGCATTCCATTGTGTAAAAGAAGACCGCAAGTCTTAAAAGGAGGAGTTATTATTATACAGTATTTATAAAGCGCCAATAGTTTGCTCAGCGCTGTACATTACAATGGGGGACAGAACATGTGACAGAACAATACCAATACAATGCAAAACATGAGGGGATTGAGGGCCTGCTCTTTCGAGCTTACAATCTAGGAATTTAAACTCCTTCCGCAATTAAAGCGGAGGTCCAGTCAAAAAAAAAAAAAAAGTCAGCAGCTACAAAAACTGTAGCTGCTGACTTTTAAAATACAGACACTTACCCGTCTCTCAGTCCAGCGAGATCCTCACACCATCTGAGTTCACCGGCCGTCCTGTGTCCCCAGCGCCCATAGCTTCAGTGTGGGCACCCAGCTGGAACAGCTTGACTTTTAAAATACAGCCACTTACCTGTCCCTCGGTCCAGCGGTATCCTCACCACAGCCCACAGCTGGTTTCCCCAGCCGTCTTCTCTCCCTGGCGCCAGCATCTTCAGTGTGGGCACCTGGCTGTAACAGCTTGTAGCTTCACAGCCGGGTGCCCACTGCGTATGCGCGCGTTATGCTGCACTTTGTGAGTGAGCCCGTAGTCTTCTGGGACCTGTCACGTATCCCAGAAGACTACAGAGAGGGAGAACAACTTCTGCTTCCGTTCGCCTAGGAGATCACAGCAGAAATGGGAGTGGGTACCCCCCCAAAAGGTGCCAATCCTTAACAGGGAGAAGGGGACAAAGCCTTAAAGTGGAACTTCTCCTTTTGGGTGGAGCTCCGCTTTAATTTCACTGTGGTGCAGGCATAAAGGAAGGATGGGAATGGGTGACACAATAAGGAAAGATATTTTTTGTGATATGGCCAGTCATGGAGAGTATGCAGTGGTGACACAAACAGTGATTTGAATCTGTCCTGTCTCCACCCAAAAGTAGAAAAAAGGGCTGTGGAATATCTCTCTAAAGTGGTTGTAACCCCTTAAACATACTCAGTGAAGTGACTGGCCTCAGGTGATACACAGATGAAAAGAAAAAAAAAAAAATCATCCTACATAAGTTGTATCTATTTATCTACAACGGTCTGTCCCTTACAGACAATCAAAGTGCAGAATTTGCACAGGATCTCTCAGCTCTGAAAAGCAGGGGGCTGAAGTTACACTTAGTGAGAAGAGCTCTAAAAGCTGATTGGAGGGAAGGGACACCCCCCCCCCCCCCATACAGCTCACAGGAACAGAGCTGAGGCTGTGTATCTGCTAGAGGTCCCTCCCCTGTCACCATTTTTTCCTTGGTGTCAAGAAAACTCATCAGAAGAGTCTCATGCTGATAGCAGAAGAAAGAAGCAGCACTTACACTCTGGACCAAGACAAGCACACACTATAGAGAGATGTGCTTTGTTCATACTCATTTAATATCAGAGGTTTACAACCACGTTAAAGTCTACCTGTGCCCAGACTACATTAAAATACATATTTAAACCTGTGATTAGCTCAGGTGTTTAAACCTGCCTGACCTATCCTGCCAGGAAGCTGTAAAAGCTGACAGCCAATCATAGACGGTGGAAACATTCCCTACTCTGCAGTCCCAAGAAATGCCCGTTGCCTATGATTGCCTGTCAGATGTGACAATTTCGAGGTGAGATAGCTCAGGTGAGTTCAGACTCCTGAGCCCGTCCTTATTTATAACAAACAATAATTGAGCTTTAAAACAAGAAGACATTTGCTTATGGTGAAAGTGTGGCATAAAGACCTGTCCTGAATGTATTTTTGGTAGCAAATATTTATTACAGATATTTTTGCAGCCCATATTATACATTCAGATCAGTCCCTTCCCTCAAAGAGTGTATAGTTTAAAGTCGTTGTAAAGGCTGACGGTGTTTTACCTTCATGCATTCTATGCATGAAGGTAAAAAACCTTTTGTGTGCAGCAGTCCCCCCAGTCCCCTCAATACTTACCTGAGCCTCGTCGCAATCCAGAGATGTGAATTACAGCCTCGGCTGTCCCAGGCCTCTGCCTCCTCATTGGCTGAGACAGCAAGTGGGAGCCATTGGTTCCCACTGCTGTCAATCACAGCCAGTCAGCCAATGAGGAAAGAGGGGGTGGGGCCAAGCCACGTCTGTGTGTAAATGGACATGTGGAGCAGTGGGTGCCCCCATAGCAAGCTGCTTGCTGCGGGGTCACCTGACAGGAGGGAGGGGCCAGGAGAGTTTGCGGGGGACCTGAGGAGGATCCAGGCTGCACTATGCAAAACAAGTAAAATATAGACATGTTTGTTATTTTACCAAAAAAAAAAAAAAAAAAATGAACCTTTAGAATTGCTTTAAGGTCCTTATCTCACATACATACTGCGGCCAATTTAGTCAGCAACCAGTTAACCTTTCAGCATGTCTGCGGAGTGTGGGAGGAAACCAGAGTGTGATTAGGAGAAAAAAAAAAAAAGATGCACACCCTAATATGTATGCAAACAGTATAGATACTACATTTGTGGGTGCTAAAACCCCCAAATAGGTTTTTCTTACAAAATTGCCAATATAGTATACTGTATAAAAGAAAGGCAGCACAACAAACAGCTTAGTGTTTAGCCATTATAAGTATTATTTATATAGATAAACAGTATTCAATTAACAACATACACAAATCAGAACTCACCATCAAGGCTATGAAACTAGATGTAAGCAAATCCAGATGCATACTACAGCACTGTAATAACAAGGATGGTGAAATTCTGAGTCTCCACTAGTGTACAACTAAGATGGGAGGTGGAGAAGATAAATGACATTTTGGGGAGATCCCTTTCTCAAGTCAGATCCACCTGTGCAAAAAAAGGACACCCTAGCAGAATGAGAGTTATTATACAGGATTTATATAGCGCCAACGGTTTGCTCAGCACTTTACATGATAGAATGAGAAGGTTAAGAACTCCAAATAGCAGCTGTGGTTTATATTTGCATTTACACACCTACCTGTATCAGATAGCTACAAGACAGCCTTATCTGTTGTGTGATTCTGCAGAAAGCCACATTGTGCAAATCTTGATAAGTCCTTTATTTTCAGATCAGTTTCCTGCATAGTCACTAAGCAGATCTAAAGGAAGATCTCAGCTGCTCTTACACCAGGTAACCTCTGTGGGCTTGAATTATATTTCTGAGAAAATGTACAGTAAAACAATTGTCCCTTCAAAAGGTAAAATACTTTTTAAAAAATCCAGCAGTATTTCACAGAAGTGAGTCCACCCCTCACATTTTTGTAAATATTTTATTCTATCTTTTCATGTGACAACACTGAAGAAATGACACTTTGCTACAATGTGACGTAGTGAGTGTACATCTTGTATAACAGTGTAAATTTCTGTCCCCTCAAAATAACTCAACACACAGCCATTAATGTATAAACCGCTGGCAACAAAAGTGAGTACACCCCTAAATGAAAATCTCCAAATTGGGCCCAAAGTGTCAATATTTTCTGTGGCCACCATTATTTTCCAGCACTGCCTTAACCCTCTTGGGGTTAAGAGCTTCACAGGTTGCCACTGGAGTCCTCTTCCACTCCTCCATGACGAAATCACGGAGCTGGTGGATGTTAGAGACCTTGTGCTCCTCCACCTTCCGTTTGAGGATGCCCCACAGATGCTCAACAGGGTTTAGGTCTGGAGACATGCTTGGCCAGTCCATCACCTTTTCCCTCAGCTTCACTAGCAAGGCAGTGGTCGTCTTGGAAATGTGTTTGGGGTTGTTATGTTGAAATACTGCCCTGCGGCCCAGTCTCCGAAGGGAGGGGATCATGCTCTGCTTCAGTATGTCACAGTACATGTTGGCATTCATGGTTCCCTGAATGAACTGTAGCTCCCCAGTGCCGGCAGCACTCATGCAGCCTCAGACCATGACACTCCTACCACCATGCTTGACTGTAGGCAAGACACACTTGTCTTTGTACTCCTCACCTGGTTGCCACCACACACGCTTGACACCATCTGAACCAAATGAGTTTATCTTGGTGTCATCAGACCACAGGACATGGTTCCAGTAATCCATGTCCTTAGTCTGCTTGTCTTCAGCAAACTGTTTGCGGGCTTTCTTGTGCATCATCTTTAGAAGAGGTTTCCTTCTGGGATGACAGCCATGAAGACCAATTTGATGCAGTGTATAGTCTGAGCACTGACAGGCTGACCCCCCACCCCTTAAACCTCTGCAGCAATGCTGGCAGCACTCATATGTCTATTTCCCAAAGACAAATTCTGGATATGATGCTGATCATGTGCTTTGGTTGACCATGGTGAAGCCTGTTCTGAGTGGAACCTGTCCTGTCTTGGTCACCGTGCTGCAGCTCAGTTTCAGGGTCTTGGGAATCTCCTTATAGCTTAGGCCATCTTTATGTAGAGCAACAATTCTTTTTTTCAGATCCTCAGAGAATTCTTTGCCATAAATTGCCATGTTGAACTTCCAGTGACCAGTATGAGTGAGTGAGAGCGAAAACACCAAATTTAACACACCTGCTCCCCATTCACATCTGAGACCTTGTAACACTAACGAGTCACATGACACCGGGGAGGGAAAATGGATAATTGGGCCCAATTTGGACATTGTCACTTAGGGGTGTACTTACTTTTGTTGCCAGCGGTTTAGACATTAATGGCTGTGTGTTGAGTTATTTTGAGGGGACAGCAAATTTACACTGTTATACAAGCTGTACACTCACTACTTTACATTCTAGAAAAGTGTCATTTCTTCAGTGTTGTCACATGAAAAGATATAATAAAATATTTACAAAAATGTGAGGGGTGGACTCACGTCTGTGAGATACTGTACTGCTTGAATTTCGGCCAATTCCTTCTGACTCAGTTGAAATTCAAATGGAGTCTGGCCCTGCCAACACTACCCCATTTTACAAAATTCAATTGGGGCTAAACAGCGCATGCATCCAATCAGATGCAGGGACTGTTCGGATGTCCCCCCCAGCAGAGGGATTCGTCCATCTGCAGTTAACATGGATGGAGAAATCTGTTCAATCTCTCTATTCACCCACAGGTCGAATGAAATAGATCTTTTCATGTATGGCTAACTTTAATTGTTTACCCAAGCAGAACAGGTAGTATATGGACAGCTTACTTTAAGCAGATAAGTATATACAGTAAGTAGTACTACAAAGAGCAATGCCCATCAGTCCCTGTCCTTAAGAGCCAATTCACGCATGTGCAGAGCGGATTGAAGCTCACATTTCACAGCTAATTGACACAGTAGTTCAGCGGTTCAGGTCAGGTTTACTTCAGGTTCAGGTCAGGATCTTATCTTGATCACACGTGTTTAGAAACAGTTCCCATAGATGTCAATAGCCTGTAATCCGCACCTGAACTTGAAGGCACTGCACAGAAATCATACAGGACTCTTTTTCAAACTGCACTGAATTCGTACTGCCAGTGCACCGGACATATGTGAACAGGTACCATAGGGAGTAATGTTGCTTTACATGTCATGCGGATTGAATGTGGTTCAAACCACATCCAATCAGCACATAGAAACGCAGTCCAGATGTGTTTTTGCATGCACCTTTTTTTACGTGTTTTTGATGCATTCTGGTGCGTTTTTTTTTATGTGTTTGTGATGCGTTCCGGTGCATTTTTGATGCACTCCAGTTCATTTTTCCACCTCTCTTTTTCTTCAATTTAAATAGGGACATGTGCGTTCCAGTGCGTTTTTGGTGTGTTTTGGTGTGTTTCAGCGCATTTTTGATGTGTTTTACTGCTTTCCAGTACAGTACAGTGCAGAAAAAATGCAGCCTGTTCTATTTTTTTTTTCTGCAACCAGAATGCACTGTAACTACAACCACTGATGTGAAATATGACATTCACAACAATATAACCTACTTTCTGTGCATTTTGGATGCAGAAGAAAAGCAACTGCAATGCATGGAGTGTGAACTGGCCCAAAAGGAGTCTACAATCTGGTATACAGTGCCAATTCACATATATGTGGATTGGATGCGGTTTGAATGTCATCCAATCCGCATGACACGTGCAATAACATTGCTTCCTATGGTGCCTGTTCACATATGTCCAGTGCCACTGGCAGTGCGGATTCAGTGCAGTTAAAACCTGGGTTCACATATATATGGTGCAGTATATCGCATGTGATTCGCACAGGAACTGCACCGCATTCCTGTGCAGATCACATGTGATTTGTGTGCCCTAAGGGCTGGTTTACACCATAGAAACGCAATCCAGATGTGTTTCTGTATCTGAGTTTTTGATGTATTTGATGCATAGGGATACGTGTGTTCCAGCCCGTTTTTGGTGCGTTTAGGTGAGTTTCGGTGCATTTTTGATGTGTTTTACTCTGTTCCAGTACAGTTCTGTGCAGAAAAAATGTTCTACTTTTTTTTCTGCACTGGAACACACTGGAACTGACTGCACTGGTGGGAACTAGGGCCACTGGAATACATGTAAAAAAAACTGTGCATTCATTTCTGATGCTGAAAAAAAACGCATTGGTCTAGAACTGGTGTAAACCAGCCCTAAGAGCTGATTCACACCGTAGAAACATAGTCTGGATGTGTTTCTGTAGGTGTGTTTTTGATGCGTTCCAGTTCATTTTTTCCCCTTTTTCTTCAACTTAACGTATCACTAAACCCATAACAGTAAAATCAGTCTGTATATGCAGTAAAGTATGCTTGTTATACTCATGTGGAACCTAAGGGGTTAATCCTCTGCATTGTGTAAAAAGGTCATTTGATCCTGTCTTCTCTGATCTCCTCTTGTTCAAATGTCCAGGTCTTACCTCCTGACAAAATAGACTGAACCGTAGCCATTCTGCACATGCTCAGTTTAGTGTGCATTGCTAGAGAGGTTTTCTTTTTCTTGGGAGAGTGCATGTGATCAGCACAGGGTCAATCAGCACCTTCCAGAGGTCAGGGGTTTTGCATCTTCCTAGAGCAGAAAGAAAACTCCTCCTACAAGCTTTAACCAGTGCTCTGCTGGACACTGATAGAAGTCACAAGACTGCTCTAACTGCTGATGAGAAAAGGTATTTAGCAGTTTATATGTACTTAATAATTGAATTTCCATGTTCTGTGTACTGTGGGAGACCAGATATAGTGTATGCAGGGTCCTGGGTTTAGAAACACATTAAATAAGGTCATGTGCGTTCCAATGCGTTTAGGTGAGTTCTAGTGCGTTTTTGATGCATTTTACTGTGTTCCAGTACAGTTCAGTACAGACAAAATGCAGCAGGTTCTTTTTTCTCTGGAACTTGAAAGCACTGGAGCTGACTGCACTGGCGTGAACTATACCATGTAATGGGGGGGACCCACAGACGAGGAGGAAGAAGAAACGGAGGCAAAGCTTTTTTGATGCAAAAAAAAAAAAAAACGCACTGGACTGCATGTGGTGTGAACTGGCCCTAAGTCTAGGTTCACACCTATGCGTTTTCCGCTGTGTTGTGCAGAAATGCACAGCAGTCCATTTAACATGATTATTATGGGACAGGTTCAAATCGCTGTGTTTTTTGGAAAGGGTCAGGTTCTTTTTTTAAATGCAATGGACACGCTGCAGAAAAACATGTTGTGTGTTCTTGATGCGGGTTGGGATTAGTATTTTATTTATTATTTTCCTATTATTTATTTTATTTATAGTATTTTACATATTATTTTCTCTTTATTTTTTTTTTTGTTAGGGTAATAATAATAATAAAAAATAAACACCTAAACCTAATCATCTAAACCCGAATAATTAATAAATACATGTAAAATAAATATATAAATAATCATAAATACTTGTAATAGTAAATTCATATATTAATAATAATTAAAGTGTTCTTCCAGCTGGAAGAAAATAAATAAAAGTCAGCAGCTACAATAACTAGCTGCTGACTTTTAAAATACAGCTACTTACCTGTCCCATGGTCCAGCGTTGTCTCAGCAGCGCTGGTTTCATCGACCGTCTTCTCTCCTTGGCGCCGGCATCTTTAGTGTGGGCACCCGGCTGTGACAGCTTGTGGCTTCACAGCCGGGTGCCCACTGCCCATGTGCGAGAAGCGCTGTGCTTTGTGAATGGCCCCGTAGTTTTCAGGGACCTCTCATGTGTCCCCAAGAAGACTACGGGGAGGGAAGACAACTTCCGCTTCAGATCGCATGTGCGATCGCAGCGGAAGTGGGTACCTGTCAAAGGTGCCAATCCTTAATGGGGAGCAGGGAAAAAGCATTAAAGAGGAACTCCCCTTTTGGGTGGAACTCCGCTCTAACCCATAACCTTAACCCCAAAGCCTAAAATTGTAATAAAATAATAAAAATAATGTAATATTATTAATAATGTATTTTTTGTTTGGGTGTTTATGATTATTATTAATAATTGATTTCATTTTTTTAAGGTTATCATGATTTTTTATTTATGTGTATTTATTTTACATTTATTTATTCATACACTATTACTCTTTTATTTTCCATTTTTTCATTTGAGCAGAAAATCACACAAAACGTATGCACAAATGTGTTTCTATTCTTTTCTATGGGAATAAAAACCTTGCACATCTGCCCAAATTGAGCTACAAAAGTAGCTCCAAAACTTTTTTGACCTTCAGGCATTTGGACTTCAGGGGACTTGGAGTGGAGATGTGACCCATCTCCAAAGAGTAATATTGATTTTTCCCCCCCTGAGCGTTTTGGAGCTCAGGTGTGAATGCCGGGTAATAAGGACATGGCATGAGAATGGCCATCTGTGCACACATGATATACAGACTGAAGGGCTGTTCCTTGTTCCACACAGCTCCCTCCAGTCCCACCTGATCATTGAACGTCACTCTGTACTGGAAGAAGTGTACAGACTCCGTGCCCGCACTCCTCCAGACAAAGCGTGGCACAGCACTGTTTGTCTGCTCACAGTCTCCTCCTATCCGGGGGCTTCTTCAAACATCATCGCACAATGGGACCGCCCCCTCTCCCTCCTCGCTGCTCTGCAGCGGAAACTACGAGGGGCCGAACCAGAGCCGAGAGGGACCGCCCTCTTCCCCTCACACGGAGCAGTGGGCCAAGCTTTACCGGAGAGGAGGCGGGCTGTTCTGCATTCACCCGGGAGAAGAGGCGGGGCATACGGCGTTCTCACAGGTTTGTGTGCGCTCACACCGGAGAGGAGGCGTGGTTTGTCGGCTCTCACCCAGTAGATGGGGCGGAGTTTATTTGCTCTCACCCAGAGGAGGAGGCGGGGTTTATGTAGCACTCATAAAGTTTGGAAAGGAAAGTTGAGAAGCGGGAACCCTAAACATCTAAGAGGTGAAGAAAGGTGTCGCGGTGATGTGGGTGACCGGTCCATATGATGAGAGCAGTGTGCTTGGCCGGTCTTGTCCCTGAGGGCTGACTTCTCTGCAAGTGTGCGGGGACATGCCCGGGAGCCGCGAGTGTTAGTGCGGGGAGGGGGATGGCTCCGGACGGGGGGGACCCCAGAGACGAGGAGGGCCGGGGGGCGAAGAGGAAGAAGAAGCGGAGGAAAAGCCAGAAGGAGAACAAGGTGAGGAGTGTCCGCTCCAACCTGCTGTACGACTCCTCCGGGAAGGCGGCC